AGCAGTGTGTGTGTGTGTGTGTGCGCGCGCGCGCGCGCGCACGCACGGCAGGGAAGCGGGTGGGGGAGGCTGGGTCACATGATTATGGAGGCAGAATTACACAGAGTTGAAAGATTTCTTCTCTTTGTTTCCAAGAAACAGGCTGCGTTTCCCCAAGTTCATTTGATCATGACACACTCTTAACGTGTGTGTGACATCAGTTTCACAAAACCAGCTAAGAAACGCGGAGTCCAGTAGGCCAGATGAAACATTGTCCCATTTCTGGCACCTTCCACCTGCTCCCACCTGGGGAGTGGACCTATCAGAGGCTCAAAAAGAGAAGGTGGGGTGAAAACAGGGCCTGTTTCCTCTGGAATCAGTGCTCAGAGACCAGGGGCTCACCTTCCCCGGCTCTGCCTGAGCAAGAGCAGAAGTCCCGACAGGCGCCGCAGCCTGGCTTCCCTCCCCCTGTGGAGCCGAGAAGGCCAGCAGGTCACCCGGGGGGGGGGGGGCTGGGGGGAGGGGGTGTGTCTGAGGAGACGCAAGTCCTGGAGGGCTGGTCCCACAGGGCACCCACTGACCTTGGACCCCATTTCAACTAAGTGTCCCTTTTCCTGTTCAATTTCATTAAGAAACCAAATATGTAATTGAGAGTTTTTTCCTTCTCCATAAAAGTTCTCCTGGACCTACCTGAAATGTCTTTATTCTGCCTGGTTCCCACTGACGGGCGCTGACAAGAGCAAGTAGTTTAGGTGTGTGTAGGGTGCACGTGGGTGCACGTGGAGGGACCGAAGACAGGCTGGGGACAGCCTGAGGCCGTTGTGTTGGGGAGGGCGCCAGGACTCTGTCTGGGGAGGAGGGATGCAGGCAGCGATGGCTGAGGTGGGCGGGGCCAGCAAGGACCCTTCCCCTTCCCGGGAGGGGACGCAGGACTGGGCTCCCACCTCCCTGGTCTGGAAAGGAGAAAATGCTACTTTTAAAGTGGACTGACTGCAGATATCCCCGTTACTCTAGGTGTGGCAGCACCTTTGCCTGCAGGGCAAAGTTGCCCGCATGGGAATAAATAAAAGCAGAGCCCCTTCGGCGTGCATTTCTGTTCTGAAGCAGCAGGACGCAGCCCCCCAGGGTCAATGAGTCACACCGGCTCCCCTCCCAAGAGGCTCCCTCGTGGGTGAGACGATGTTGTATGTGGAGTTCCCTAACAACTTGTTCCCTTGCTGGTCTGAGCTGTGGGGGAGGTCCTCGCGGCTAGAAGGGGGCATGCTGACATGGGAACGATGCTCACGGCCGAGGCAGGACCTAGCGAGGCTGAGCTCCTGCTCAAGGTGTGGCCAGTGGTCCGTGAATCATGGAAGGAACATCCACGAAGACATGGTGTTTCGCCCTTCGTGTCCCAGGCTCGTACAGTTTTTCCTCACTTCAACCACGAGTAAACAATACTGAAAGCACAGAATGCATAGCAGGTTCTTATTCATGGCTCATTTCTGCCTCAAATGCCCTCCCCTTTTTATAACATCCCACTACCTTCGTCAGGAACCAGGAGACAGTGGCTAACTCTACCTTCCTGGTTTGGAACCCAAAATTCAGTGGAAAATTCTACTTCTAAATAAAATAAGCATCAGAAAATTTATCATTTTACCAGATAAACCCTAGATCTTTACAGCTCTTCCCAAGTGGCCAAGTGCGTAAGTCAGTAACTACACATAAACACACACACACACACACACACACCTTTCAGTATGTGGATTTCTAGGCTGTAATACATAAGATGTATTGGTGGGAAATTGACTACATGACTGACAATAAAATGAAATTAATTAAAGATACAAAAACCATAAAATTATAGTAGTCTGGGGTATTTTATTGCACAGCCAGAGTCCTGGCTATTTCCTGAAGGCATCCATTTATATTAATTGATGCTTATAATAATTTAAAATATTAAATTGAACTCTCTGTGCTCAGACTAAAAAGGCAAAGAAATGCATCATGTGACACACATGCAAAATACAAATATACATATACATATAAAGACACAAAAATGTATGAAATTATTAATTATTTAAATATATTTGCTGCCTATCCAGGACAGAAGTGGAAATACTTGTCAACTCAACAGCCTGAACTTTTACAGTTTTCTAAGTTTGAACGTAGATGGCTCAGCCTGGTTGGAAGAGCTGTCACAGGGCCCACAGATGTGCTGAAAAGAAGCCAAAAACGTTCTCTTTGAACTTGGAGCACTTCATCTGGAAGCACAGTTCTCAGCCCCACTGGGCAGACACACTGATGTGTCATGATTGGTCCTGGGATGTGTTAAAGCGTAATTTTATTAATAGTGTGTAAAGCGCTCAAGTTTGCTGCAAAAAATTATTACGGATATCCAGTCATATTGATAGCGTCAAGATCTCCTGCGGATATTTCCATGTCTCCCTCAGGTGGGAGGCCCGGGGGAGGGGCTATGCGAAGTGGGCCGTCCTTCATAGGTGAGCGACCACAGACCTGCAGACACTGGGAATATTCCTTGTCGAGGGGCCTGATGGAGAGGGCGTCCCTTGGGGGCATTCCCAGAGATCCAGGTCAGCCTCCAAGCAAAAACTCCCAGAAGGAAGCTGGGACCCACCGGGCTGCTCCCCTGGTTACTGCCCGAAGGGATAGGGAGTCCCCGGCCCCAAGGATGGAGCCCTGGTGCTGTGTCTCTGTGACTAGAGGAAGAGTCCTGACTGGAGTCCCCCTCAGCTCCAGGAGAAGAACCGAGCCCCAGGCACAGTCGCTGGGAGCTCTGGGCCTGAGACCAAGCAGAGCGTCAGCCGTCGTCAGCACCCGCAGCGGCACCTGCAGGTCATGGAGGCCGGCACCCTCTCTGTGTGTGCCCGACTCCGCTACTGCGAGCATCACCCACCGGACGTTCCTCAGGCCAAAGCCCCACCTGGATGGAAACTAACAGCGCGCGGTGCCCGGGGCCCACCATTCACCCACGCCACGCGTGAGCCAGAGCCCGCGGGGGCACAGACAACCTGGGAAGGTGCTGCCGGGGGCACCCCGCCCAGACAAGTCACGTCCCGTGCCTTCTGACGGCCGTACTGCGGACGACTGCATCCGCGCACGAGCAGCCACTGAGGACCATCCCGACTCTGGAAGCCGCTTCCAGACGTGTGATTAGGGCGTCATCATAATTACAGGGTTTCCTGGGCTCTTGGAGTCTGGTTCAGCCCTGGCCGCACACTCTCCTGGCTTATGGAGGAAGCTTCTCTTTCCCATCCCCTGATGATCTTGTGGGGCCCACGGGGGGAGGGACGTCAGCCAAGACAGCATTTCTATCACCGCGGGAACCGTCATTCCCGGGGACACCCCTGTGGGCCCATTGCTTCTCCCGCAAGACTGATCCCAGCTCGAGAGTTACGTGGAGGGCGGGCTCCCAGTGCCCGTCGCGAGTTCTCACACCCT